CTCTCTCTCTCTCTCTCTCTCACACACACACATACACACATACACACACACACATACACGGACTATTTTTATTCAGACGTAGGTACAGAACAACTATTGTAAAAATGACGCTAAAAGCTTATGAAGAACGAGAGAAAGAAAGGGGAGAGCGATGATTAGATAGATTTAAAAAAAAAAGTGAAATGGTATAGGTTTAACACTATTGGGTTATTTAAGAGGCGGGGCCTCCGAGTTTAACGTCCATCTCCGAAACGACCGAGCCAAATGGGAAATTCGTGTAAAGTGCCTTTCCCAAGGACACAATGTCGGACCGAGCTGAGGCAAAGATAGTACATAACAAGATGGGCCACTCAGCCAAAAAAGTGTCCGCAGGAAGTGTAAAATTTTTTTTAATGACCTCTCGACTTTCATTCTAAAGTCAAATTAAACGACCAAAATAATCACCCTTTCCTCCGGAAAAGTTTTTTTTGTCATTTTAAAAAAGCGTTCTTCCGAAATTTATTCAAAAACTTGCTAGTTTCACTTTGATTTTTAAAACTCAAGTAGGGTAACTCTGTTCGCAAAAGGTGCGCTTTTATGAAGAGGGCGCCACCGAATTTCGAGGACACTTTTTTAATTGGCTCAAAGAGAGAAGTGGCCCCTCTTATTATGTAGACTCTTTGGCTGAGGCTCGGACCCCCGAACCCGCGATCTCACGATTACGAGTCCTAGGCTACCGACGCCACTTAGGATAGATAGATAGATAGATAGATAGATAGCTAGATAGATAGATAGATAGATAGATAGATAGATAGATAGATAGATAGATAGATAGATAATGTGTGTATGTGTGTGTGTGTGTGTGTGTGTGTGTGTAAGCGTATGTTCGTGTGTGCGCGTGTGTATGTATGTGTGCATGTGTACGGAAAAAGGTAGGTGGTGGGTGAATGGGCGTGGGTGAGGGTGAAGAAATTAGTAATCGTTCAACAAAGACACCATTGAATAATACAGGTATGAAGATCGAGGTTGCGATGCAGTTTCTTGCTTACTTAAAGGGGAGGGGTGGGGGGATACACCTGAAGGCTATCTCGCTTATTAGTAGACCAAATTTCACCGTATTTCACACATATAACAAGCATAGTAAAGACTCTTAAAATCCGCAATCAAATTTCAGAAAAAAGATTCGTTTCCGTGGATACGGAGGCCATATTGGATTTTGTTGACATGCCTTACGTAATGAATATCGCCTTTATCACTAATGGAAGTTGATTGGGGTTTTTTTGCAGACATGTTAGCAAACAATAGATCTAAAAATGTGTCTGTTGTTTTTTTTCCTAAATGAATTAGAACATTTTTTTATGAATTATTTCCTGAGATAGTACTCAAGTTTGCAAAAAATCCTTGAAAAGTCACACTCCAGACACCACCAACAAAAATCTATTCCATATACATGTATCAAAATTTCAACAGACACATTTTTGATATTACATCTTCTCTTCATTCTATGAAAATTTCATGAAGATTGAATGAAACAGGGTGGAGTTATTCAAAACAGTATAGAGAAAAAATGCGTTTTGAGAAAACGGCCGATAAAGAAAAATAAAATATTGACTTTATTAGGTAATAGTGGTGACAAACCTGCGCGGTATGGGAAGAAATAAGGCTTCTGGGGGGTTCTTATGCAATGAAATAGTTGTAGGAGGGGTTGAGGACGCTAAAAATGTCTACAACTCAAATTCCGTAATGTTGAGCCCAATCGGGACTTTGAGGGGTGTAGCCCCCCTCCCCCTAAGATAAAAAAAATACCCAGTGGAGTCCTCTTAACTCGATATTTCCGGGG